GGTGAAAATTTGGAAACTTTATTAGAAGATTTCAAGGAAGACCTATAAAGTAGAGAGTAAGAAAGGAAGAAAAGAGTGATAGGAGTAACTGAATATCATATCTTTCTTCTCCAATTGATTTTGAGATTCAAGTCAGATTCACAACTGGGTTTTTCACCCAACTTAATAAGCTGATTCTAAAATTTATTGGAGAGAATAAAGGATCAAGAATCACTAAGACAGTCCCAAAGAAAATGAACAGGGTTAGGGGATTTCTCCTATGAGATATAAAGACTTCCCTGATGGCTCAGGCGGTAAAGAATCCACCTGCAATGTGGGAGACCTGGATTCCATCCCTCGGTCAGGAAGATCCCCTGGAGAAGGGATGGCAACCCACTCCCAGTATTCTTGCCTGGAGAATCCCCATGGACAGAGGAGCCTGGTGGGCTACAGTCCACGGGGGGTCAAAGAGTCGGACACGACTGAAGGGACTCAGCACAGCGCACATAAGAGCTTCATTAAGCAAAAGTAATTAAGTCCTTCATGTGTCTTTGCCAAGATACGAAAAACAAAATTTGGAACCCAGAAATACAGTCCTACATATGTACATGGATATTTGATAGATTATAGAGATGTCATTACAGATAGTGGGGAAAAGATAGACTACTTAATAATTGCTAGTACAATTGATTATCACATGTGGAAAATATTAATTTGGTTTCTTACTTCATACTGTCTTAATTCTAGATATCTAGATCAAGAACTTATACGCAAAAGGCAAAACTTCAAAACTTTCAGATGAAAATGTGGATGAAAATCTTTTTAAAAGAGAAAGATTTCTTAAACAAGATGCAAAGCACAAATTGTAAAGAAAATGATAAATTTAAAACACTCAAATTAAGAGCTTCTTTTAACTAAAAGATCCTAAAACAAACAAGGTACAAATGATGAGAAGATATCTCGATAAAAATGTAAATAACAAAATTTCAAAGTTTAAAAACTCGTAAACATTAATAAGAAAATGAAAAACAACCTACTAGAAAAATAGAAAAAAGTAGGAACTTTTAAACCATGATAAGATTCCATTTAACATTCACCAAATTGTCAAAACTTGAAAGGCTCTGGCCAAGTTATGTGTCAATGAGAACCTTTATACACTGCAGGTGGGAGGATAAATTGGTACAACTTCTTTGTGTAACAATTTGGCATTTTCTAGTAAAATCAAAGATAACCACACTGAATACCTGGCAATACATTCAGTGTGTATGCTAGAGAAACTTCTGTAACCGCGTACTAGGAGATATGTTCATGAATATTCATAGGAGTGTTATTTAAAAATAAACTTAATTGAGGTACAATTTACATATGATAAAATGTGCCACTTTTAAGTGTAAAGTTGAGGTTTGACAAATTTTTACAGCAGTGTAACTACCACCACAATTAAGGTATAAACCTTACCAACATCTCCAAGATGTCCCTCATTCTCCTTTGTAAGAGAACCCTTCTCCCACTATCAATACTATTTTCTAGAATTGCAAATAAATGGAATCACATTAGTATGTAGTCAGTTGTGTCTGGCTGTTTTCCCTTGGCATAAAGCATTTGAGATTCTTCAGTGTTGTTGTTCACATCAGTATATTCTTCCTTTTTGTTGCTGAGCAGTATTTCATTATGTGGATATGTCAGGAATTATTTATATATTCATGAGTTGTTGGTCTTTGGGGTTGTTCCCAGTTCTTGGCCATTATAAATTTTACAAGTGCCATGAAGCTTCATATACAGGCGTTTGTGTGGACATATGTTTTTGTTTCTCTCTTGTAGATTCCTAGGAGTAGAATTATTGGGTCATGTGCTAAGTGTATGGTTAACTTAAAGAACATAAAAATATCTTCCAAAGTGATTGTACTATTTTTCATTCCTACCAACAACACGTGAGAGTAATGGTTCAAAGCAATGTTATCCAGAACAACAAAAATAGAAACACCCCAAATACTCCATCAGAAGAATACATACATAAATTGTAGTATATTCTTTCAAAGATACCACAAATAATTAGTACCGCAATAAGCAGCAACACTACTAAAACACATTAAGCAAAAAAAGTGAGTCATAGGTGAATACCTATAGTCCCTATATGTGTATATGATTTGCTAATGAAACAATGTTATTTAGGAATATATACATTTTGGACTCTAAGATGAAGCAAAGGAGTGATAAACACATTTTCATGATGGTGTTAAAACTCTGGATAAGAAGGAGTGTGTAGGGGTGGGAAAGGGTACTTCAGAGATGTTGCTAATGTTCTGCTTCTTAATCTGTGTAATAGATACATGGGTGTTCATTTATTTTTATTATTCTTTAACTGGAGCAATATATTTTATATTAATGTGTATTTATATATGATATTTATAATGAAAGTTCAAAAAGGAAAAGATAGTTTATGTTTTCTTTGCTTTTCTTTAAAAAGAAAAAATAATTGACTTGGCCTTTGTCCTATACTGTAACTTATTTTCCTAATTCTACTTAGTATTCTATATCATTACCTTGAGAGATTGCACTCTTAGTACTAGAGTAATTCTGGTATGCATTTTTCTATCTCTGGAAGTGAGAATTTAGATGTCTGACTCACAGCAATATTAATAGCTGTAGTTAAATTCATAAATCCTTATTTATGAAGATAAGATTATGACCTACCTAATAACAAAAATGATTGAGTAGAAATCATTTATTTCTTAAAATTATACTGGGGAAGGATATATCCAGTATTTATTTCTTTCCTAGTTGAATTATTTAAAACTAAGATTAGGAATCCATCATAAAATGACCTCATAGCCAAATATAAAGGATATACCATCAATTCTAGAAAGCCCAGTTTGTCATTTATTGGATAAGAAGACTGCAATATTGACAGTAAAAATTTCTCTATCTCCTTTCTAAGTTATAAGAATATAAGTTCAAGAAGTTGAAAATTTCATAAGATGAAAAATATCAATGAGGAAAATGGAAAGATGGCAAGAAATAAGTTTTTGATGTGTTTTAGTAATACAGAAAAGCCATAAACTACTGATTTGCATCAGATAGTGAATTCCTATCATCTTACTGGGAAACTGTTATTGAAGACAGTTTTTTTTTAAATTAGTTATTAATTTGATTATAGCTTTGTTTACAAATATATTGAAACATAACAAAACTGCATATTTGAGTAAAGTACAATCTCTACCTCCCAAAACTTTTATAGCAACTCAAGTATGAAATGTGTTTAAAGCTGGAAATTATCTGTGAAATATTACAGAAACAATTTCAAACACGAAGGGCTGGTAAATGAGCCTTTATTAAATCATCAAAATATAATCATCAGTAATGAAACAATTATGAAATTATGATCAAAGTACAAATTCCACAAGTAAAAATATGTGCCTTAATATCAATCAATAGTTTCAATTTCTTTTAAGTTTGAATCAGGATGTATGATTAGGAGTGATCACTCTTAAAAATGAAGCAATTCTTTCATTGTGTTCCACATTATTTAGAAAATTTTAAAAATGTATTTTGCCCCATATGATTATGAGAAATGGTAAAGAAAGACACATAAAGATGGAATTGAGCATGTCAGTTATTAGTATTTTCTCATCCTAGTAAATAGCTGTCAAACTGAGAATATCTGAAAGAGAGGTTACCTATTCCTTTGTTCATCATTACTGTTATGTAGGGATTCCCAGTTCTTACATGGTGAGCTTTAATTACTTTAAATTTAATTAAATTTAAATTTAATTACTTTAATTAAATTTTAATCCATCATAAATAAAGGTTAAATTTAAAATTTTTACTTTGGGATATGGACTTGTATTTTAATAACATATATTTGTTTCCATATATATTGTATCATTTGATGCTACTGTAACCCCACAAGATGAGCAGGATTTGGTTATTGTCTCTGTTTTGCTAATAAGAAAATGAGACTTGTGGAGATGAAGTGAATTGTTCAAGCATCTCAGTTAACAACAGATATAGCACTAGAGTCTTTGTCTTTTGTTTTAAAATCAGTCTTCTTTCTATTAGACCATTAATTCTGTATCTGATACTTGTCTGCAGATAAAATATAAAAATTATGATATCATCTATTAAATTTCATCTTTGGAGATTCAAGTAGGTTGAATAATGGTTGCCCAAAGATATCAGGTGTCAATTCCTGGGAACCTATAAAAGTTACCTTATAAATAAAAAAGGTCTCTATAGATGTGGTTAATTTTAGGATCTTGAGATGGGGAGATTATCCTGCCATATCCAGGTGGGATCTAAATCCAACCACAAGTTTCTGTATGAGAGAGGGGCACAGGGAGATTTGATACAGACAGAGGAGTAGAAGATGAAGATCTAGAGAAGAAGGCAATGTGACCATAAAAGCAGATAAGTGTTGTGGTCACAAGCAAAGGAATGCCAGCAGTCTCCCCAGACTGGAAGAGGTGCAAGAACATTCTTTCTTAGGGTCTTCAGAGGGAGTGTGGTCCTGCGGACATCTGAGTTTTAGACCAGTATAACTGTCATTGAACTTTTCACCTTCAGATGTGTAAAAGAATACATTTCTCTTGTTTTAAGCCAGCAAGATTGTATTCATTTGTTACAGCAGCCTTCAGAAACTAGTAGAGATTCTGTTCAAGTTTTCCATTTCCTGTTCAACTCCATGCAATTCACGTGAGACTCTATTTTGAAACAGATGGATTCAGAGGGAAATAGGTTTGTCCATTAAAACTTTCCTAGAAGAGAAAAATTGTTAAAATGCTAGGATTTCCAAGAACTCCTCAACAAAGACTTCTCTTCTCTGAAAATTAATAGGGGATGTTGAAATTTTTAATAAGAAATATTTTAACAGAGTAGACATTATTGTTTCATGTGAAAACAAAGTCTTGATGCTGATAAACTGAAATGTACTGATGTGCCTAAGATAATTGAGGAGCATATTGGGTATTTATCTGAATGCCAAAACCTCAAAATTTCATAGTCAAAATTTTTTTTCTTTGTAGGAAACATGTTGGAACTATCATGTCTGGAAGTGTATTTACAACAGAATTTCAGCTATTCATTCTTCTCTACAAATGCTTCTTTTGTGACCTTTCTGCAACCAATAGGAGAAACTCAGACTATTACGGGAATCTTTCTAAATCACTCCAGCTTTCAAAACTTCACCAGGATTTGCCAAGATATCACAAGTGAACTCAAGACGTGCTTCTCATGTTTGGCTTGTGAGTCCAAAGGAAACACTGATTTTATTTTTCAGGAACAAACATCAAAAGGTAAATGCGAAAGAAAAGTGAGAACAAAATTTATTAAGGATAAATAACCTTATTATGTGAAAAAAAATATTAATAATATATTCCAATTTTAAGTCCTGTGGCCCTGAAACACTCAGCTGTGTGATGCTCAATGAATGACTTACAGACTTTGGGACAGTAACTTTTCTTGGTTTACTTCGATTTATCAAAAACAAAATATCCATTCTTAAAATACAATCAACATGCAGTTATAATCGATGTTCATTTGATGGCTAAAGGATTATTTAGCATGCTGTCTTCAAAAGTACTGATAAAATTCTAAGTAAACTTGTAGAATCTTGTTCTCATATAAAATCATACTTGGACTCCCCAAGGAGTCACTGAATCCTCCATGCATTTGTACCTACTCCTGTCTAATATCCATCCACTGTATACGAATTGTCTTTTTACTTGTTTAACTATCCACCGAGCCTCTCAAGGGCAGGAATCCTGTCTTTGTTCACTATGACATTTAATGTCTGAGCTGAGGCACTTAAAAGATATTTGTTTAATGAATGAATAAACAGATAAAAGAATAACTATGTATAATCCATAATATCTAATCAAACCTTGCATTTATTATCACTGAGAAATTAAATAATTACTTTACAGCTATAAAATACACTGGTGGCCCCAAGCCCAAGCATCAGATTTAGTGCTTATACCTATTCAGTGAGATTGCTTGCTGGGTCGCCCCATACTGGCATTTTTCCCATCCTTTCAAAATGGGAACAAAATTTCTTGGCATTGACTTGAGATAAAGTACAATAGGTAAGTCTTTTTTCTAAGAATCTGCCTACAGTGCAGGAGTCACAGGAGACAGTGATTCGATCCCTGGGTTGGGAAGATCTCCTGGAGAAGGAAATGGCAATCCACTCCAGTATTCTTGCCTGGGAAATCCAATGGACAGAGGAGCCTGGCAGGCTGCAGTCCATGGGGTCCCAAAGAATCAGATATGACTGAGCGACTAAGCACATATACACACATTCAAGTAGTACTGTAACGATTGCAGGCTTCTAGGTCAAATTCACCAGAAAGCAAACTGGGGAAATACCTTCATCATGACAGAGAACAATGAAATGTTTTAAAAATTGGAAGCTCACGGAGTCTACTTCTCTGCCTCCTTGAAAAGTAAAGCAGTGCATCGATAAGTTATTCTAGTTACTATGGCTGTGTAGCAATCACCCCCAAACTGAGTGGCTCTAACAACAGCAAGCATTTAACTTTTTTCTTTCTTCTTTCCTTCCTTTCTTTTTTTTTTCTGGGTCAGGAATTCAGAATGGGCCTAACTGGGCATTTCTGGCTTGAAGCATTTCACACTGCTGGAGTTAGACAGTAGCAGGACCTAACACAGGAGTGGGCTGGAGCAGCTTCAGGCAAGCTGGGCATTTCTCTCTCTTCATGCAGTCTCAGGGTTTTTCTATGTGGTCTTTCTATTTGGGCTAGCTTGGCCTTCTTCACAGCCTGGTGGCTTTAAGTCATTGTTACTTAGTGGCCCAAGGCTCCACCATTTAGGGATCCAAGAAACAAGGTAGAAATTGCTTTGTATTTTCTGGCCTTATCATAAGATGTAATTTTCTCTGCATTTGATTGGTTATAACAGGTAAATCCTTCCACAGAGATTCAAGGGGAAAAGTATTGGACTTCATTTATTTGTGGTGGAGTGGCAAAGTTTTAGGTTAACATGTGTGTTACAGGTTGAATTCTATTGGAGTTCTAACTCCAGTATCTCAGAACGTGCCATTATTTGGAAATAGGGTTGTTGCAGATGGAAGTAGTTCAGTTTAGTGTGTTAGTTGCTCAGTCGTGTCTGACTCATCGCCACCCTACGGTCTGCAGCCTGCCAGGCTCCTCTGTCCATGGAATTCTCCAGGCAAGAATACTCGAGTGGGTAACCATTCTCTTCTCTAAGGTTTCTTCTCAACCCAAGGATTGAACCTGTGTCTCCTGCAGTGCAGGTAGATTCTTTACTGTCTGAGCTACCAGGGAGACCCACGGATAAGGTCATTAGGGTGGGCCCTAATTCAATATGACCGGCATCCTGATTAAAAAAAAAGCGGGGCGGGGGGGAATTTGAGAGCGATCAGGGTGATGTTCTATAAGCCGAGGAATACTGAAAGCTGCCACCAAACCACCCGAAGCTAGAAGGGAAACATGGACAGATTTTTCCTCAGAGCCTTCAGAAGGAAGCAACCTTGTCAACACTTGAAAGTGTAGCTTCCAGAACTGTGAGACGATACATTTCTGTTGTGTAAGTCACCCAGTTGATGGTACTTTGTTATGACAACCCTAGCAAACTAGTATAATGTGGGATGGGAAATAATGCTGTGACCATTTTGGTAAGTATAATCTGTCCCACAAGTCATCAGGGAAATGTTTTTTTTTCCTTTGAGAGGCTCCAAGTATATTTCAAACTCACCTGGTTTTCATACTCTTAAAAAAATGTAAGCACCATAATTGTTACTTTTAGGCTGATAACTTCTTGTTTTTACTCTTTTCTTATTGTATAGGAAGAGATTTAGCTTTGAGTTGTATGTGTTTTCTTACTATGTACTACTGTTTTTGTGTGTGTGAATAACATTTTCTTAATCTCTTTCTAGCTCTTATCATGAGAGGATCAATGGAAGTGAAGTCAAATGATTTTCACTCACCTTGTCAACATTTTAACTTCACTGTAACTCCTATGGTTGACCACCTGGAGGAATATAATCTTACCTGTAATCTAAAAACCCACACTAGAAGGTCAGCTACCGAGGAGGAAGATCCAACCGAGGCAACATCTGTAAACCGTACTTGTAGAACTATGGAACACCCACATAATTGTATAAACATTTCTTTCCATTTAGAAATGGATGCAAAAAGTAAGTTTTTAAGGAAATCAGAGGGAAAAGGACAGTAGAATACAGACACAAAATTAAGTAAGGGCTACTATGTAAGCTTCACTTTAAGTCGAATAGTTGAAGAATTTTGTTGATGAAATAACAAGGCTGGAAAGAATGTTAGCCCTTTTACCTGTTTATTTTTCTTTTAAAATGTTTTTTTTTTTTTGTGGAGCACAGCTGTACTCAGAGGCAAAGGAGGCATCTATGGGTTGTTATTTGAGGAACATTACAAAGACCCTCTGCCCTAGGATAAATTCTGGGAGTGCCTATTAGCTGGGTTTGAAGTAATACTATCACGCTTGTGTATTAAAGGGTGAGATTTCTTTTGAAATGTAAATAAACATGTACACTGTGGTATGCTATTAAATTTTGAATCAATTTAACATGTCCTCTCTTAGAGCTGAGAAACAGACCTGAGAAAAAGGGATTTTTGATGGACTCCTGTGAAGATAGGTGGGGTATAGATTAAGCGTTTTGAGTCACTGGAGGACTCCGAGGGAAAAGTAGGAGTCTGGAAGATAAAACTCACATATATATGAATTCTATTTAAGGTTGATTACCTTCCTAGTCACCCTATTCTGAATTAACACAATTGATTCTTTTTTAAATTAATTTTGATTGGGGTATAGTTGCTTTACAATGTTATGTTAGTATCTGCTATACAACAAAGCAAATCAGGCATAACTATGCATATATTCCCTCCCATTTGGAATTCCTTTTCATTCAGGACACTACAGTTCATTAAGTTCCCTTTGCCATATATTATGTTCTTATTAGTGATTTTATACATAGTGTCACAGTTGATCCTTACTACTAAGCAAGGTGCCCTCCCTTGATCCATAAACTCTACTCTTGAAGAGCATTTCATGATATAACCATTTAATGAGGGCTTGCTGTATGCCAAGCAGCATGCCAGGTCCTGAGGATACATGTAAATGGCCAAGTAAGTGTCTTTGGTGTTAGCAGGTGCTATGTTAGAATAATTGACTCTGTTTTCTGATGTCCCAAATATATGGAAGTGTTTCAAATTGCCTTAGAATGCTTTTTTAAGGCCTTAATCATTTTAGAGGCCATTAAAAATATTATATTTATCTTAAGGCAAACACAAATATATGGTACATATGCATTTTTAAAGTGAAATATAAAACTTCAAATAAATTTCTCCTGTGAATTAGTTTGCCTGAGGCCCTACAGCCTCTGCATTTAGGAGGTATTTCAAAGTGTATGTGTAGGGATGGTGGGAGAGGATCTGAGAAAATCTGAACAGATGGTAGGGGAATCAGGGTGGAGGTTCTGAAAAGGCCATATAGAGAAGGTGACTATGATGAAGTCTGAAATATAGAGAGGTTTGGATGACAGATATTTAAAACATATTTATTTCAATGTCCACTTATGTATCTATCTAGTTACTTTTTATATTTTCTAAAACATTAAAAAGAAATAACCATTGCCATAGTATTTTGAGAATTTTTGTATTAATGGAAAAATTCATAAATTCCAAAATGAAGTGTAATTGACAGCTTTTTTGGGTACATAAGTCAGGAAGTTATCAGTGGTATACAACTATGTAGTCTTGTATTTGGGAGAAAGTATACCTATCTTGCCATGTGTAGAAGAGTGGAAATTTATTTATGTTTTATTCTGCTGTACAAAGACTAACTTGATCTCCTTTCGAAGTCCTATCTGCCAGTGGGCAGGGAAAGCTAAGTTTAGTTTAGTCTGGTAAATTTACTCTGAAACAATAATTTAATCTGTCTCTAGATTTTTTTCAGAGTCCTATCCATTTCCCCTCGGTCCTCTCCAAGCTGGTTCCAGGGCTGGGGCTGGGGGCCACATGGAGTGTAGGCAGACACACTCGTCTGCTCTCACTGGTACTTTGGTGGGTACTCTGGCTCACTTGGTCCCAACTGGGTACATTCTGCTATTTCAGTATAATGTTGGTGAATGTACAGTTCTTTTCTCATAGCTGATCATTGCCCAGTGACACCTTGGTATTGGACCCACCTTGGCCTGCTGGTACTGTACATCTTTTATGCCAGTTAACTGCATGCTTTTACTTTGCTGAGTGAGGAATGCAAGTCTGGTTACTAAATAGCATGGAATGATACTGGGGAGGCTGAGTGCTGCCATCCCAGTCAACCACTACCTTCTCCATTCAGCCTCTTGTTTAAATAAATGTTGACTATTTAATGGACAAACGCACATGGAGTGGAAGGGCCTGTGAAAGGGATACCCAGATCATGAGCCCCAGGACAGTCACCCAAGGGTAAAAACAAGTTATGTATCCTGCTAAGGTGAATGAGTACCCCCTGTGATTTACATGCAAGGAAGAGGGTACGTAGGTTGTTTTAGAATGTCAGTAGACAGTGGTGTTTTGGACATAAGAAAGTCACTCTCCTTTAAGTTACTGATTCCTGGGTCTACTGGCCAGTGTGTATTTATGGGATGAAAGGAGATCTTGCTAAGCTGTCACTGATAATGATTTTTCTTCCTTGTTGCCTCACTGTCATTTGAATGAACATTTTTTTTTTTTTTAACCTGTGTCCTTATTCAATCTGGGCAAAGGTAACTACGTTTGTAACTAATGCCTGCACTTGATCTGATCATTGCCATGTGAGGCCCTGTGGAAAGAAGGTCTGATTAATCATCTACTCAGGCCTCTTACGGAGAAGGCAATGGCACCCCACTCCAGTGCTCTTGCCTGGAGAATCCCATGGACAGAGGAGCCTGGTAGGCTGCAGTCCATGGGGTCGCTAAGAGTCGGACACGACTGAGCGACTTCACTTTCCCTTTTCACTTTCATGCATTGGAGAAGGAAATGGCAACCCACTCCAGTATTCTTGCCTGGAGAATCCCAGGGACGGGGGAGCCTGGTGGGCTGCCATCTACGGGGTCACACAGAGTCGGACACGACTGAAGTGACTTAGCAGCAGCAGCAGCAGCAGGCCTCTTACATGCCTCAATCCAGCCTCTTTCTTTGTCTTTCCCTTTCTTCCCGATCCTCATCTTACTCATTGCATCTTTGATTTGAGGGCCTGTTTTTTTGGCTGCTTGGCCCAGGGTCAAATTGTTAAACACAAGTGGCTCTGATGCTGGTATTCTTCTTCTTGTGATTCCAAACTCGTGACAGCAAAACTAGCATCGACATAACCTGGAAGTGAAATTAATTCCAGAATTTTGAAACTATCAATAAGCGGATCCCTGGAAACCACTTGGCCATGTTTCTTAATTTAGTATGTTAGAAAAGAACTCAGGAAAGCAGGTGATCCTGTGACTGAGATGGTTATGTATTCAATTTCTCAGTTGTGGACAGGATATACTGTAGATTCCAGCTGTATCACCATGATGCCTCTTATCTGCTGCATCCCATTTTACTGTATTTTTGCTACATTTTTCTTTGCAGATTCTATCTGTTCCATGAAGATCACTTGGTATGTTCTAATTCTATTAGTCTGTATAGTTTTGCTCATCTTCATTATCCGCAAAATACTTGAAGGCCACAGAAGAGCGCAGAAATGGCAGAGTAAGTACTGAAAAATTCATTATTTGGGATAATTTATCTACTGTCCAGAAGTCCCTAATTTTATCTGTAGATTCCATTTCTCTTTTTTTTGGGTTCAATTTACCACTTACTGGGCATCTGTGTGTTTAAGTGGTGATTCTAGGTAACTCAAGGGACATACGTATAGATAAGACCAGTGCCAGCACTCACGGAGTTTCCTGGGTTTTTCTGCAGCCCAGACAGGTGGTTAGGATGAGGAGGAAAGGCTGGGTTAATTGGAAGGAGTTGGTGGACTGGAGATTGAGCAGAGCTTGGTGTAAGTGAGGCAGAAGAGGGGAAGAAGAATAGGGAATGGTGATAAAGGATTTCAGAATTGGAGGTCTTGAGCTCTAGGCTCTAGGTGATGAGCATGAGCAAGAGTCAATCTATATTAAGTGTGGGGGAGAAAGTAGATTTTTCACTGTGAAGCACTAAGATGTGTAGTTGGAAATAAGGATGGTAGGGATGATATTTAAAAAGAATTAACAACTGATTAAGTATGACAAGGGCATCTACTTATCAGAACGGACAATTACTGTTGCGGTCCTATGGTGTATACCCATGTACATACTGGCTGAATATTAAACCTGATGAGTAGTTGGTCTCTTAAAGATAGTATAAAATGTATCAGTACAAGATTAGGCTTTGGAGACAGGTACTTAGGTTAGAATCCTAGTGCTACTACTTACTATATATGTGACTTTGTGAAAATTACTTACCATGGTTGAGTGTTCCTTTCCGCCTCTTAATGAGATTAATCACCATTCTTACACAGGGTTGAGGTAAGGATTGAACTAAAGAGATTACATAAGAAGTAGTTCTCAATAAAGGATGGTAGTATTGTGCTGAGTGTAGTATTTCCCAAAACTCTTGTGTTCCTTACCAGGCAAGGCCATGTTAATAGGCAGAGCAAATGGCTGCCTCTAGGTTTGAGTGAAAGTGTCATTATTTTGGTTGTTTGTTGGAGATATTTCTGAGGACAGTTTCATATCGTCTTGTTATCAGTACATTAGTATATGAGGTCCTAAACACATACTATTTGGTTATATTATTATTACTGACCAGTAATATATGGTCAGTAATATCATCAATATTCTTCATTTGTAGAATAAACATTTGCAGAGCATTCCCATGAGCTTTTTTTTTTTTTTTTTTTTAACTAGATTCTCAAAGTATACAGACAGGACATGTTCTATTTCTTTTATTTTAAAGATGAGAAAAACCTCAGGCTCAGAGAGATTAAGTGTGCTGTCCAAAGTAATACAGTAATAAAATAACAGAATTAGAATTAAGACCCAGGGTCTTTCTAGTTTTTATTATTTTAAATAAAATATTTTTTATTATTTTAAATAAATGTGTGTCATTTGCAATAGTGCATAGTTTTGAGTTTCTTGATCTATTTTTCTATGAATGGTTCAGTTCAGTTCAGTCACTCAGTTGTGTCTGACTCTTTGCGACCCCATGAACCGCAGCATGCCAGGCCTCCCTGTCCATCACCAACTCCCAGAGTCCACCCAAACCCATGTCTATTGAGTCAGTTATGCCATCCAACCATCTCAATCTCTGTCATCCCCTTCTCCTCCTGCCCTCAATCTTTCCCAGCATCAGGGTCTTTTCCAGTGAGTCAGCTCTTCACATCAGGTGGCCAAAGTATTGGAGTTTCCGCTTCAACATCAGTCCTTGCACTGAACACCCAGGACTGATCTCCTTTAGGATGGACTGGTTGGATCTCCTTACAGTCCAAGGGACTTTCAAGAGTCTTCTCCAACACCACAGTTCAAAAGCATCAGTTCTTCTGCGCTCAGCTTTCTTGATAGTCCAACTCTCACATCCGTACATGAGCACTGGAAAAACCATAGCCTTGACTAGATGGACCTTTGTTGACGAAGTAATGTCTCTGCTTTCAATATGCTGTCTAGGTTGGTCATAACTTTCCTTTCAAGGAGTAAGCATCTTTTAATTTCATGGCTGCAATCACCATCTGCAGTGATTTTGGAGCCCAGAAAAATAAAGTCAGCCACTGTTTCCCCATCTATTTGCCATGAAGTGATGGGACCGGATGCCATGATCTTAGTTTTCTGAATGTTGAGCTTTAAGCCAGCTTACATATTAGAAAAGAGAGAGATAGAAGCCAGACAGAGAAAATGTCTACAAAGTGATCAATAGTGGGGAGTGACATTATATTTTTAGGAACATCTACCTAAATGACAGGATTACTGGCTTTCAAAAGCTTGCCTTGCAAATCCAACATATGAAGTAGTGAAAATTATCATGCCATTTAGGACATTAAATATTAAATATATGTCAAATATTCTGTATACCATATCTATTATACATAAAAAATAATATTCTGCATATAAGAATAGATGCACAATGGCATTTATGGCAGTGGAGAAGCCGTTGGTTTTAGAAAGTATCTACTTGTTAATGGAAAACAACAATAAAAATCTCAATGCCTTATTACTCCAGGCTCTTCTATGAATGGCCCATTTTCCTTGGTAATCCTTGGAACCAACATGGGGAATATATATTAAGAATATGCTTGCTTATCATCTAAATATTTAATATCTTTTCTTGGAATAGGTCATAAATACAAACCTACATCTGTCCTCTTACGAGGAAGTGATTCTGAGAAACTACGAACATTGAATGTGCGGGTTATTTCAGGTGAGTTCTGTGATATCCAGACAGAGCACTGCCTATGAAGTTCCAATGCGTCACCATTTAACCATAGCCACAAGATCAAGTGATCTGAGCTCATTTAAATTAGTCTTGTAGCTGGAAGAAAGTAGTCATGAGCAAATGAAATCCAGTTTAATGTGTCTTATTATCAGGGGACAGTTATGATAAAAACTACCTCCTTAAATAATGGCAAGTTGGCTTAATTGGCAAGAGGAAATTCATGTGAGTCGGCAGAGGAGAGAAAGCAATAAGGAATAAGCCTCAGGTTTATTTTTAAATGAGACAAGATACCATTATTCCTTGGAATTGCAAGAAGTAATTGTAGAGTGCGCATGGTTTTGCTGGAGCCTTCACTTAGCAGAGGGTGTCCTTGTTCGAAGAGAACGTCTAATAGCCCCAATTAAAAGTCCCCTGTCCTCTCCTGAGAGCTAGAAGCGGAATAAGGGAACCCTAATTAGAGCAGCTGAGGGGGCTGTGTGCACAGATGCTGTGGTTCGGCCTCATTCTTCTAATTGTGAAGCCTCTTTCTGAATTCAAATTGTCAAACCATACTAGAGAGAGCGAGCGAGAACACAACATGGGCAAAACTTCTTCACCAGGGAGAAGTAACGTCCTCGACTCAGAAAACCACAGAATTACGACTGGTGTCGCCACAGCTCCTGGGGCACAGCCAGGGAGCAGGCACCTTCACATTTTGTGAGAAGTTAGATAGGGAAGCCTCATGTCTGCTGTGCAAACTATTTTAAAAAAGGAAACCAAAGCCTGAACCCTCACTACAGCTACATTTGTAACCACATGGAGATTTGCACAGCATTTCACTGGAAAATATGCTCCGGGAACTTTCTTAGCTTTTTAAACTGGGAGGTACTCAGAGCCCTAATTTGAAGGAAAAAATTGGGTTGGGTGCCCCTAAAGAGCTCAGTCAAAAAGAAACTTAGACTTTTTACTCTCACCATTAGCAGTAAAATGGTTAACCTATGGCGAATAAGAAGCATTAGCTAAATCATCATTTGACATCAGCAACGTACATGAACTTGGGCAAACTCCAGGTGATGGTGAGGGACAGGCAGGCCTGGCATGCAGCAGTCCATGGGGTTGCAAAGAGTCGGACAGGGCTGGGTGACTTGGGCAACAACAACAAAAATGAGGGGAAGGTGGATGAAAACTGCATGCGGTCAGTGCCAGTTTTGTTTGATGAATGAAATAGATAGCATAGGGTGGTTTCCAATGGCAGAAGCCATGTCTGTTTGTGGCATGCTTGCCCTTCTCACCCAATGCCTGTGCCTGCCATTCATGGGCCAGGCATGTTTTAACCCAGTGCCTCTGGGCTTTGGGCTGACTTAGAAATTCTGGTACTTTCTCATTTTAAGTCATAATTCTGAGCCCTGTAGCCTTGCCTGAGAAAAAGTCAGTAGTTCCCCTGTCAACCCATATGATGGGGGGAAGCACAAATTTAAAGTACTAGCTAACCACAAGACTCACCTCACAGGTTCTATTTATGAGCCTGTGATTTTCATGCACCAGAGAAATCTGTCTCGGCCATCCTTTCCCTTTAATGGTTCTCATTAAAAATCCTGACTTTATTACCAGGCATATAATATTAATGTTTAGAGTGGGCCAAGGGGTGATGGCCTTTTTTAAAACCAAGAGGTCTTTGGAAGCTTAGCATCTTAAAGGGAGGAAGAAGCAGATGCTTCCTTGTTATAAATATTCCTTTAACCGAAATGCAGTTTCCCCCCTCCCATGATAAGTTGCTCTTTCTGAGAGAGAAATGGGAAGGAAATAACGTCTCCCCCGAGTGCTGTTTCTAAGGCCTCTCTTTGTAATGATGGATGATCGGCAACAGTGAGAATCTAAGGGAAAAAATGTGCCAGCATGATCCTCTGGAGAAGCAGTAACATGAGTGAAAAAGAAAAAAAAAATGTAGTTCAAAGAGAGCAGTGACTATAGTCACATTCAGCAGAGCAGCTTGCTGTCAGCCCTGCCTGTATGTTCCAGAAGGTCTCTTCAGTTGTTCATGTGTTACAAAGTAAGTATTGTGACACCCATACACACAGAGATATAGATAGCTCACACCCTCAAGAAGATGAGAGAAATAACACCCTCACACTGCACGGGGCCTGGCATGTGCTGGGGGGGCACAGTGAACACAGGTGAAATAAATAAGCCTCATCTCGGCCATCCTTTCCCTTTAATGGTTCTCATTAAAAATCCTGACTTTATTACCAGGCATATAATATTAATGTTTAGAGTGGGCCAAGGGGTGATGGCCTTTTTTAAAACCAAGAGGTCTTTGGAAGCTTAGCATCTTAAAGGGAGGAAGAAGCAGATGCTTCCTTGTTATAAATATTCCTTTAACCGAAATGCAGTTTCCCCCCTCCCATGATAAGTTGCTCTTTCTGAGAGAGAAATGGGAAGGAAATAACGTCTCCCCCGAGTGCTGTTTCTAAGGCCTCTCTTTGTAATGATGGATGATCGGCAACAGTGAGAATCTAAGGGAAAAAATGTGCCAGCATGATCCTCTGGAGAAGCAGTAACATGAGTGAAAAAGAAAAAAAAAATGTAGTTCAAAGAGAGCAGTGACTATAGTCACATTCAGCAGAGCAGCTTGCTGTCAGCCCTGCCTGTATGTTCCAGAAGGTCTCTTCAGTTGTTCATGTGTTACAAAGTAAGTATTGTGACACCCATACACACCGAGATATAGATAGCTCACACCCTCAAGAAGATGAGAGAAATAACACCCTCACACTGCACGGGGCCTGGCATGTGCTGGGGGGGCACAGTGAACACAGGTGAAATAAATAAGCCTCATTGCTATAGAAAGAGAAGTCATACAGAATCAATTCTCAAGCTTCTATGTGTCTCTGATATTTTCTCTCTTGCTTGGGGGAAGTGTGATGCCTTCTGTTGTCTGCTTTGGCATTCATCTATTTTACATTTTATTCACTTGACTATATTCTTCTCACACAGGTGATGACTCTGTCTTATTCATCTTTGGATTCTTGTCCCTAGCCTAGTATCTGGCATGTAGTTCATGCACAATAAAAGCTTATTAAATTGCACAAACCCTAAAGGGAAATGAGTGTAGAGTAAGAGGAGCAGTTGAATGAAAAATGAACCTTGGGGGTGGGGAAAGGTGAAAACAAATGGAGAGACGGAGTGATCGAGGGAACATAATTTCGTTTCATTAAAGAATATAAAATGCACTTTGTAGAATTGCTAAGGATATCAAAGAATAATAAAAAAAATATTTTGAAGAAATTTTGAGAACCATGCAAAAGTAACTTGGAGTTTCATCCATAAAAACAGTGCTTAATGAGTTGACTGTCTTGGGAGATGAAGGCCAGGGTAACGTATCTGAATCACGGATGCAGACAATAGAAACCAACTTGGCTGATTTGGCAGAAGGGAAATCTATGGGAAATCCAGTAGAGAACCTATGGAAGCAACAAAACATTAGGGAATCTAAGCTTGTGTAGGAGTTGAGGGAGGACAGGCTGCCAAAACACAGCTGGTGTTCCCTATAGGAATGGTCTGTTGAGAATGCCTCTGCTGATAGAGCTCCCCTTTGACCACCTTGCCACTGTCCATCACTGTCCAGGATTACAAGCCCCACGGAGGGGTATCTGGTTGGCTGGATGAAGGCACAGATTGGTACTCTGGGTACCAGGAAGCAGGGAGAGGGGATGTCTGCCCCTCTAACTTCCTGCATCCTTGAGAGTGCCCCTGAGATGGCCACATATTGGAGAGCCAACAAATAAATATCTCCGCGCACGACAGCAGGTTCCTAGGAGCTGAGCCTCCTCCACTGCATGGGTCGGCCAAGGGGGTTCTATCATCTCTTTCCACACTATGTCTATCAAAAATGGTCAGATCTTTAAAACTTCAAATTCTTCATTTTCAAATATTCCACCAAAATATATTGAACACTTACTCTGGGCCAGAAATGGTGCTAAGCATTGCCGACACAGTGGTTGTACCAGAGAGCAGTCTCTACCTTCACAGAGCTGAGACCACCATTCAGGAGTTTCAACCCCTGCTTCCTTAGGAGAAGGGAAGCGAATTAAATTATACAAACTCAGTAACCCCCTTGATGTGCACAGTACTCTCACACACATCGTTTTGTATCATTTCATAAGGACCTCACTTTTTTTCCCTGATGAGAAAAACTGAAGCTAAGAGAGTTTAAAGTAACTGACCCACTGCCAGATCCTAGCAGGGCCAGGGTTCAAACTCGGTTCTAACCAGTGGTTGCAATTTCCAGCACATCACTTAATGGCAATGATGAACCGGGAAGTTTACTGCTGGTTCAGATCAAAACTCTTCTCAGTCTTTAGATGTAAAAGAGCTAGAAACCGAGATGAAACATTTTCTCTATAATGTAGCAGGATCTTGTGTGAGACAGTGTGAGTCATCCTCAAAGTAACATTTCAGCATTGACAGTTAATGTGGGTGGGTTCTGAAGAACCACAAAGCAAAGAAAATGGAATTTTATCATGAATGAGAATTGCTAAATGCCAAGAGGAGGCAGATGACCTTGTAATATATATTACTCCCAAATAAAACTGATGGCAGTGTAAAATTATAATTTGCAACGTGTTTAAGGCCAGTATAAAGATAAAGCAGGCTTCAATTTTACGCAGAAGATAAATTACTGGTACCAGATGTCCAGCAACCAAGCAAGATAACATGAAAATTTAATTTTTACTTGCTTAACTATAATATTTATGACTCTTAAAATACAGATTTGGGTTCATAAAACAGTAAAGGTTATATAGCCATCTGCTTGGTTACAGAATAGATCAAGAAGCAGAGGGTGACTCTACATGTAGGAGGAAATTCGTAAGAGTGAAGAATCCATAGGCTAAATAAGATGATTTACTCCAATCACTGAATGACTTTATGTGACAGCCATTTGTGCCAGGTCTGGAAAAAATGGTAAAACATTTTGCAGATAAATATCTTCATCTTTGCAAAAACTTTCC